CAGTGAAAGTACCTGAGGCCTCCTGGCTATGAATGGTTTCCATGGCTATCAGACTTCTAAGAAAGATTTTCTGCCCAGACAGTAGGTCTTTGAACACCAGAGATCCAGGGATGGCATAATGGCCAACACTCCCCTCCCCTCCTTTGGGGTCACTCTGTGGTCAGGCAGCTCAACCTGTCAGCAGGCTTCACTTTGGCCTTTCTCTGGTCTGTTCAACTCCTGGATGCTGACAGTTCATTTCACTGAAGATCTTGGTTGAGTCAGTGCAAAAACACGCAACATGGGTGGGTGGGGATTCAGACCCCATGTCACATGAGAAGAAAATGCTATGCTGGCTCCATCATGTAACAATCCTAGACCATAAACAAAGATTTAATTAATGACCATAGATGAATACTTCCTCACTGAACTTACGTGGCTAAAAACCTCATGACTGACGCAACACGAAGCCAGTGTTTACACGGGCTCAGATGAGCGGAACCTAACGCTGTCATGGTGAGGGAGACTCCAAATCACTAAAGGAAAATTGTTGGGAGCCATTGGTTGTCATGCGACAGCATTCCGGCAGAAACAAGGGCTTTCTTCAGGGGCTCGCAAGGCCTCTCCAGATAACAGCTAGCCTGCCTTCTGTGGATTTTCTGAACTATAAACTTTATGGGCTAAATTCCAGAGCTAGGTCCTGGCTTGATTAAATTATCTTTCAAGAATATTTCAAAGATTCTTGTAAATGACAACAAAAATGAAGAAAAGATACAGTATTAGTTGATTAAGACAAAGTTCCAATTTGAAGGATTTTCATCAGCTGGACACAGACAGTAAAAGCAATCACCCATGACTAAGAGCCTACTAGTCGGTGGGGGAAAATTGCAGTCTGGTGTGGCAGGGACAAAAATAAAAATGCTTTTCAAAATAAAAAAAGAAAGGAGCATTTGTTTGCCATGACTACAGAAAGAAAAGAACTGGGAAGCATAACTCACTCTATTTAAATGTCAAGAAAGTTCTAAGCTGTACAGAGGGACCTCTGTTGTCAACAGGAGTCTAGGTTTACTCAATTCTCTCATCCCATGCCTCCTCCATTCTTGCTGCACCTGCTCTGGAAAGGAAGCCAAGCATGTGACCTGGGATGAGCAAGAAGACGGACACTTTCATGAAGCAAGCCAAGCAACAAACAAAAGAACTATACCACGTGTTACTTCAGAGAGTCAAGGAAACACGAATGCTCTCCAGTGATGTCCCTCATTCTCTGAGATGAGGAAATTGAGATGTGCTTAAAGACCATTCCAAACAGAAACAGGAAATAAAAGACAAATCCAAGCCAAAGCACCACGTGAGCAGCCTGCTTGCCTGGCTCTATGAAGCGCCTCTGTCCCCGTTGGCCCGGGGCTTACCTCTACACATGCCTGATGAAGTGACCACGGCTGGTGACAGAATCTTTTCTGGGAAGAGGGGTTGGAAGTTAGGAGTTCAGGTTTGCTGGCCTGTGTCCAGGGGAGAAACTATCAAATCTACTGTGTCTCCAGCAAAAGACATGTTGGACAAGAGCTAGGTGCAGTCCAGGAAGAACATCTCAAACCACACACATCTACAAAGCAGGGAAGACCTATCTCCGGAGAAGAATGATGTAGACATGTAAAGAAAATCTACAAAGAAAAGGGAAAACAAAAATACATCTTCCCCGCTCTTTCCTGAGACTTGACCTTCCTTCCCACTTAAAGTTCTGAGTCACCCCCCTCTTTTCCCAGAACATTCTTTTCTTTCTTTCTTTCTTTCTTTCTTTCTTTCTTTCTTTCTTTCTTTCTTTCTTTCTCTCTCTCTCTCTCTCTCTCTCTCTCTCTCTCTCTCTCTTTCTTTCTTTTTCAGAGAAACAACTTTGGGTTGCTTGAAATAAAGTTATTTTCCTTAAGTGAGAAAAGATTGCTTTTTAAATAAATAAATAAACTTTAAAAACTGTAGCAGAGACCTTTAAAGCTCTCATCCCAGTTTCTTTCTTCCCAGACACTACCATGTTGATAAATTACAGCTTAGAAGATCAGCGAAAGGATGGCCACCTAAGCTCATTAGTCCCAACTGCTGGGTAACAGGACACCCGTTTTATGAATATGAATAAGTAACCAACTTATGTTATAAGCCATCACAGGAACACCTGCTCGGAGTAAAGTCTGAGGCTGGGTTCTATCGGGTAGCCAAGATGAAGTAGGGGTCTGAGGCCACTCTTACAGAGTTTGTGGTCTCACAGAAGACACAAGCCAGACCTAGTGGTCACTGGCCATGGGGAACCATGATAGCACTCATGTTCTAGGAACAGGGCATGGCTCACAAGACCTAACTTCCTGCCTACAGCATTTGTATTGGGAAGGTATCATACCACCTGCCTTCGGCAGGTAATAAATAAAGCCCAGTACCTAGTAAGTAGGTACATGAAGAAGCCTGGATTTAAAATCCAAGAGGCTGGATTTAAAGTCAATTTTTCTTGACCATATAGAAAAATGGAAGAAGTCCTCACTAAACTAGAAGGCACTGTCACTTCCACTCCTGATCTCTGCCCCAAGCATTGTTTCTGATACACTGCTGGGATTGGTAATAAATTGATTTCATAAGTATAAAAAATCCATAAATGATTAAGTACCTATGAACTAGTATTGAACTACTGAACTTAGCATGCACCATTTCACTAATCCTTCTGTTTAATAAGAACCGACAGAGGAATGGGATACAAAATTATGATTCTATGGGAAGAATAAACACACGAGCTCCTCTGCACAGTGTATCGACTACAGTTAATGACAATGTCTGTATTTCTGAACATAATCCAAAACCTATGTTGAATGCTCTCAGTACAAGGACGTGGTAGGCAGGTAATAAAAATTCAAATTAATTGTCTTGATTTGGCCATTTCACAGTGTATTTATATCATCATAACATCAAGCTCTATGCTATTTATTGTTTGTATTTGTCAATTAAAAATTCAAAGGAAGAACGATTACTACTCCATGCTGAATATTAAACTACGCATGAAAACTAAGGTTAATTTCACTTGTCCTGTAGCCAAAGCTTTGTCATTGAAAATACCAACCTAGAAATCCCAATGGCTTCACATAGAGTCCTGGCACACATCTAGTGTGGGACAGGGCCATCTATCCACTCACTCAGGGACCTGAGTGTGGCACACCTGCTGAACGCCATCTCTGATCTATCTGGACCATGAAGCTTCAGAGTTCATGGAAGCTAAAGAAAGAGTGTGGATGCCCAAACAAGCTCCTGGATGCTTTGCCTCAGATTTAACCCAGGTTGGATTCCTTCATACTACAAGAACCTGTTGTGAGGGCATGCTGGAAAACTGGGAATGGCCGTGGATGCGTGGATATTTGGAGCACAGTAAGTGTCTCTGCACAGTTCTTCCTCCATGATTCCCCAGCTACTAAAAACGAGAAAAGGTTCCACTTGACTGGGACCTCACATTATAGAAACACAGTTTTTTTTGGGGGGGGGGGAAGAGCTGTTTTACATCCCTGAAAGATAATTTAGAAATAGATTTTATCTTACAATTATAGCCTCCTTGTCTGCTCTAAGTCATATGCAGAAGCTAAGGGAGTAAAAGATAGAGTTAAATAGGATATATTGATTTATATATTATCAAATAGGTAGTCTAGTATGCTTATAGCACAGCAGGGTGACTACACTAAACTGTTGTGTATTTAAAAATAATTAGACAAGGGGATTTTGAATTTGTCCAACAGAAGGAAAGTGTCTGAGGTGATGGGCATCATTTAAAATAATGTTCCATAATGCCCATGTTAATTTTAAATTTTTTGAATGCTGATAAGTGAACAACAGCTGCTTAGAGACTTGGATGGTACATGGGATGACTCAATTAAAGGCATCTAGATACTTTAGGGATGCCTTAATTTTAAAATGAAAGTCAGAAAATGTATTGCTTTGGGGAAGAGGTTATGCTTTGGTTTCCACAGGATTCATTCAAGGATAGCAGTAATCAGATTAACTGGGGGAGGACCCCTGAAAAATCCTGGCTACAGATATAAAAAAGAAAACCAAATTAAGTAAAACTACAGGACAGGTAATGCATATTTTACATGTTCAATCATAAAACAAAAAAAAATATATTTGGCTGACTGTGTACAACACACAGTTCGTAACTGTGTTAATATAGATATGTATGTTACCTTTGAAATTTTGTGTGTTTTCAGAGCAAGGGGACCAGACAACAGTCAAAACAGGTAGCCCAGCTGATCTGCCTCTTAGAGCGCTTCTGTTGCAGCTTCCTCCGAGTTCTGCATCCAGAACAGCTTCAAGGCTGATACCTGATTTGGTCCAGTCTCACACATGTTGTACTTTCCCTTTGCACAGAGACTGGATAACAAATGGCATAACTAATTTTCCCAAGACTTGACCATTATCTCAATTTCCTCAGGCTCCTAAAGATGCTTTATCCCCAGACAACAGCAAACAATCTAGAAAACACAATGCCTACATTCTCAACAGGTGGGGTTTTTGGTTTTTCAGTGGGTAATGTGTGTTTGTCATCATTTAGTGGGGTTTTTGGTTTTTCAGTGGGTAATGTGTGTTTGTCATCATTTAGTGGGGCTATAGGAATATAGGATAAATAACAACTATTAACTTCAAATATTTTTCATTGGTATAGATTTTGATATATTGATATAAATTTAAAGTTATTTTGTTATACTCTATGTATGTTTCTACTCTTGTTTGGGGTATTATGCTTAGGAAGTTAATTTAAAAATGTAATGTATAATGAAGAAATGCAGGTTAGTAGTTAGTCATTACAATAATCAAACATGAAGTCATATTAAATACATTTTCAAGGTTAAGAAAATTTACTTAGATTGATGGTCTTCAAAGACCCGCAGAATATTGGCATTAAGTCACCTTCCCTCAGGGCTCCCTCTTTTCCCCATATGTGTGCCATGCAGTCTGCATCCCGGAGAGCAGCAGTCAGAGCGCAGCATGGTTGGGAGACTCACCTTTGTTGGCACAGGCCATCCACTTGAGATTGTCGGCAAAAGCAGCTTCCCGTCCAATGAGGTATGTGAAGATTCGAACCTGAAGAGAAGATGGACATATGGTGAGCTGTACCGAGCTTGCGCCATCCTGTGCAGACCACATGCATGCCCAACACACGTGTGCTCTACCTCCTTCCTGCTCCACGCGCCCCATCTGTAGAAACATATTTTAGACACTTGAAGTACAGTCAGCTAGAAATATATTCAGGGGGCCTTTGATCTTTGTAGCCATATGGCACAAATGGTAGTTGTTTTTCGGCAGGCAATGTAGGGGCGGGGAAGAAAAGCCAGAAGTGGGAGAGCTGGCTTGTTTCCATGAGTGGAAGAGGATCACCCAGGTCTAGACCAAATCCACAACTGTTTTCCTCATTCCAGCAGAAAACCCAGACGGTGCTGTTCCAGAGAATAAAAACACCACCGTAAGAGCCTCAATATTTCTCCCCAGCAGAAAGCACAGGCTGGGAAAGCTATGTAACTCTCCACGGGAGCTGGTAGGGCTTAGGCCATTAACTGAGACGAGAGGCACTGCCTGTGGCCGGGAGACCTATGGAGTCCCTCTCTAGTTATCCTAAGATGTTTGCTCCCAAAGAGCAGAGAACTTACATTTTAAAAAAGCTATCTCAGTTTGCATTGCTTCCTCCCACTCCCTCTCCCTTTCCCTCCCTCCCCTTCCCAGCCCTGTCTCAGTCACAGCTCCTTGAAACAAAGCAGGGTTCCCCCCACCCACCCACCAAGTAGTTCTAGATGATCAGACAGAGGGAAGATGAAGAAGAGGCTGAAGCACCCTTGACACAGTTTGGAATGACGGGGGAGGAGGACAACACTCCACAATCCAGGACAACCTCTCTTGGTAGGCCAAGTGTATCCTCTGAAGGTCACGGTGTGGCATTCTATGAAGGAAATCTGACACATGGCATCAGAGGCTTTACAAGCCAGAGTCCCCTCAGCCCAGGCAGCCTGGTGGGTCACAGGACTGCTGCTCCTCCCAGGCCTTGCCTAGAGTTGTGGTTAACTAGTAACTTCTGTAGTCTGGTCTAGAAGACACGCCTCTTCCATTAGAAGTCCACTTTCATGGGGAGAGAACAGGGACTGTGTCACCGAACCGTGCCACCACGGAAAGCAGAACTTGGAACATTATTATCCAGTGCCCGAAGGAATGGAAACTTACAAAGGCTCACAGCTAGGAAGATGGGGGTTCCAGGTCATTCTGAACCTCTTCCAATCAGGGCATATAACACAGAGGCTAGCTTTTGCTCATGTTCTGATTCTAACTGAAAGAGGACCTTAAATGCATATTGTGTCAACAAAGCCCCGGTTTGTCCCCGTGTGTTGGAAAGACCCTTTACACTCTGCAGCTCGTGCACAAGGTCTTGGGGGGGGGGGGTGCGGATGAGCTACTGCCAGATAATGTGGGAGTCCCCTCAGGCTCTCCTCCTACAGCCAGACCTTGTTGACGCCACTTCCCCCTGCGGTTCATTTCCACATCACCCTGCTCAGAAAATCTGGAAGCAGAGGTAAGCTCTCCAAAAGGAAAAAAGATGGACAGATGGGGACAGGTGGAAAGAAAGAAAAGAAGGAAGGAAAAAAAGGAAGGGAGGAAAGAAGAAAGGTAGGTAGACAGATGAAAAGAAAGAGAGAGAGGAAGGAAGGAGGGAGGGAAGGAAGAAGGGAAGAAGGAAGGAAGGAAGGAAGGAAGGAAGGAAGGAAGGAAGGAAGGAAGGAAGGAAGGAAGGAAAGAAGAAAGGGAAAACACTAAAGGATTTAATCTCCTAGGAAAAAAATTAAAAGCAAAATCCTAACTTTATAACATAAAATAATGGTAAGCGCCGCCCCCTGCCAACAAGCTGCCCCCACTGTTCACTTTTCCTTATTGGTCACTGTGTATACTTAGCAGAATCTCTCTAATTTAGGGGAAACTAAGGCCCAATTAAGTACAATGACTACCTTAGTTTTGACAAGGTCTGGTCTCATTGTGGGTGTTTCCCCTCACTGCCTTGAGTTGCTGGTCTCTCAGGACAGAATTCTGAAGCAGCTGAGAGTTCATGAGAGAAATCCCTCGCAGGACCAAGGCCAGAGTCCAGTTCCCTGGGACAGGGCTCATGATCTTTCTAAATCCTTTGCTTTGATTTCAAGTTGAAGTTCTTTAAAGGGTAAAGACTAGACTGGCAAAAAAACTCACATCTTAACAATTTCTTAGGCTGGCAATGAAGAATAAGAAATGGCTCTTAGGTTGTGAAGTCATGCGTTTCATCTTTGCAATCAAGGACTTCCGGGGAAAGCTGCAAAGGTAGCCAGCGGTGCCAGCCGCCTTTGTGCTGTCCGGATGAAGAGGCTAAGCAGAAACTCTTTGCTCTCAGAGGTATGGTTCAAACCCTGGGAAAGACTTGAAGTTTCTGGCAAACTTATATGGTTCCTGATCTCAAATGTGGCAACCTACTTGGGAAGCCAGTAGGATTGTGCCAAGCTTTGCCTCAATCACGATTGCTCAAGAACTGTGCTAACAAGTACTCAGTACTGAGAGCCAGCACCGTGACTCCCACTTCCGCGGTCAGTGCCATCATGGATCAGGTGCTCTGCTGAGAGAGTACAGGCTTCCTGTTTGTTTTGTTGTTCTCTGTTTTATTGCATTGCTTATGAAAGAAAATCAGAATCACGTTCAGTATTTCCATATATGTACAATGTTTGGCTCCCCGTGGGCCGACTCCTTATCTGAATAGAAGCAGCATGGACAAGACTTGCTATGTCTCTGCCTAGAAAATAAACATAATCAGATGATATTGGGTCTCTGGCCTGCATTTGCTCACAATACTGCCTTTCAACTGAACACAAAAGGAAAAGACATTTTACTTCAAAGTCTAAAGGATTTTGGAGAGCAATTTAACAACATCAAGAACATTTTGTATTTGTAATTCTTTTGGCCAAGTAATTATACCTCTAAGCATTTATCTTACAGTCAAGATTGTAGGCAAAATGCCAATGGAGACAAAGAGTCAATACAGTTGACAGGAAGTGGGAGAACACTGGCGGGCGCGTGCTTCGCAAACACATAGTACAGAGTACGGGCATGCTCACCTTCGCTACATGATGATCAAAAATTAAACCCTTAAGCATTTCTTGAGAACTGATTGGCTAATAATCACGCATTGAGATTTTGTTTTTCTAAAGAGAGGCTCAAATTTGTACTTCATAAATTGTATATCATTAGGATGAGTGAATGAGTTAAAAATAAGTAACTATTGCTTTAATAATTAAAGTGCATTTTTCAGGGAGAAAAAAGTACTGAAACTGTAATGGTCTGAAAGTTCTGCGTGAGGGTAATAAGAACAAAATTGGAATGAAAACCAAACAGAAAATGTTAATGTGTCAAAACGCGGGCTGTTTCCCTCTACTGTGTTTTAACTGAATGTCAAACCTCTCAGTGACACGGTCCAACACTCTACATTTCCTTCCTGACAGATTCTGTAGTCTGATGTGTTTGATTTCTACCTTTCTTACGAAGTGCCCCCAAACCAGCTTTCACTGATATGCTGTGAGCTCCACTGTTTTCTCGATGTAGGAAGAAATTCCAGCAGAGTCGGGTCCAGCGTAATGCTGAGAGCCAAGTGGACGGCATAGATGGCCACAAACAGGAGCCTTCGCACAGGCCAGGGTAGCCCATCAGGATCCACTGTGCCACTCCTAGGAGCCAGGCCTCAGCCACAGGCACACAAGGCTCCTCTCATTATCACAGCTCAAATACAGGGCACACAAGTGGCTGAGCCACCCCTCGTTAATTTTGATCTCTTGCTTAAGTTGTTTTCTACAAACCCAATTTAGCTTAATAAAGTGTCTGAATGTAACCTTTCAAAGTCAGCCCATTTCATCCAAAGGGAAACAAACATCAATCCATTCTTTTTCAAAACTACAAGTTATGCTTATGTTTGACTGACACAGATGAAGCTCGTGAGAAGCTCTGAGGGGTGCTGAGCACAATGGTCGGGACCGTGATCTTAAAATCCCAGGGGCTGGAATGGTAGGACGGCAAGTTCAAAGACAGCACTGAGAAGAAAAAGGGAAGGAGGAAGGGACAAAAGAGGAGGGAAACATCGATGTTCCCTCTACATCAATGATTCCAAAATTCCTATTTTTGAAAGAGGGGAAGGGAAGTGGTTGCAATAGGATTCCAATATGTCTACAGCACATCCAGAGAGGAAGCTGCCACCCTGCACAGCACAAATAAAAGGGACAGCTTATCAGTCTTCTAAGGTCCCCGCTATGTGTCAGGGACCACACAGAAAAAACTTCGTGGAGCCTACATTGTCTTGAGAGTAAAATCAAATTCACAATAATGCCCATGTGTTTGCTGGCTTACAGGTCATGGAGAAAACAGAGCAGGAAAGATGGTGGAGGATAAGGGGAGTTGCTGGTTTAGGAAGGGAGGCGGGGAAAGCTGTCCCTGTAAGGTGACACCTAGGCAAGGATCTGGACAGGGGGGAGGGAAGAGGGAGTATGACACAGGGCTATGAGAAAGGATGCTACAGTGAGATGGAAAAGACGAAGATGCTTGAAGTGATACTGAAGGCGCCAGTGTGACCCGAGTTGTCATCAGGAGGGACCGCTAAGGGCTGAACTTGGAGAGGCAGTGGCACTAGGTCCTATTAATCCCACAGGTCACTATTAGAGAATGCTTTTTATTTGTTTGTTTCAACAAGGTACTCAGTAGAGGCCTTGTACAGGCTAGCACAGTGTGAGAGGTTCCTTTGGTATGTAGAATGGGGCATAGTTCATGGACACTTGTGCTCAACCTGGCTACTTATTTAAGTGTTTCTTAATGTGGTTACAAGTCTATTCACATTTCACACAAGAACAACACAGTTAGAACCTTGACACGGGGACCGGTTTGGATCTCTCTGGCTGCACTCCTGTAGTGTGCTCTCACAATTGAGAAGCACAGTCCTAGTGAGATACAGATTTTAATAGACACTAAAAGCAGGCCACTGAGAGGTTCCAGGTAAAAAGGGCAATGACTTTGGCCAGAGTTGTTGGACAACACTGAGTACA